TATGATCAAATGCAAGATTGACATAAAAAACATGGTGAATTTCTAGAATATAACCATAATATGGACATGTATGTGGAAATTCACATGAAAATGATCTCAAGATTCAATAATATGGACATACATACAAACATTGCTTCTCAATACAACACTTTAAGCTTATTCTTGACTCTAATCACCAATTTTCCATGAACCATGCATGTAACAACTTAAATTCACAATTAAGAGGTTGAATTTCCTACCTTAAGTCTTGAATTCCAAGTGTAGAAGCCTAATTTCTCAAGTCTTCTTCAATTTCCTCTAAGTTTCAAGTCAATCTCTTGTTGAATCAATTTTCTTCTTCCAATCTCTCACTCTTTCTCTCTCTCTCACGTTTGGTCTTGAGAATGGAAAAGATGATGTATTAAATGTGTGAATTGAGCCCCAAACAATGACTCTAAAGGTGGCCCACTCAATGGCAAAAACGTAAATAGCATATATTCAATTAATCTAGCATTATTTATTATAATTTAATCTTCCCAAATTGAATTTTTATTAAACCTATCATAAAATCATATAAATCCTAACTAGCATATAACACTAATCAATTTCTGAATCGGTCGCCGATAAGGTTTTCAATTCGCAATTCGAGAATTAAAACATGAACAGATCATTCAATAACAAACAGATAGAAATGCGTTTAAAACAACACACTCATGAAATCAATTTAGGATTTCCTCTTAATCAATTTCTTATCATGCTTAATCATGAATTAACGCTAATCAGAGGTGAGGGTTGTCACAATGACAATATAATTTTTGGTGTATAACATGTTATTGACACATCTTTTGTAAAGCATACATCTTTTGTAAAGCTTTAACTCACTTTTTGTAAAGTTTTAACCTACTATTTTGGTGTATGACAATATAACTTTAATTTTTGTTTTTTGTTCAGTGTTTACACTTTTTTTTACTACCTTTTATATTTGATATGCAATATAACTTTAAATCTTATATGTTTGTTTATTAAGTTGCATTAAGATTAGAGAGAGTTGTTATTTTATTTGAGTTTTGTAGAGCGTATAATACAAGCAAAATTATAACTGCATTTTAATCTAATTCTTTAAGAAGAAACATATTTCAATATATTTTTTCAGTATCTTTATCAAAAAATGACACAAACTTCATAAATTTCAACATAATACGTATAAATTATAACTGCATTTTAATCTTAAAATTATTTACACCGTACCTTTAGGTACGGGCATACACTATATATATATATACAAAAAGAAGAAGCCTATAATATCATTTTCTTCAATATCTAATAATCAAGATCCCTTTGCGTGGAGAAGTTATTTGGTGGTCTTGGATTTGGATTTCGATATGGATTTGGGTGTGTACGTGTGTTTTCTGATCTCTAATCATTCTATATATATGGAGAAATATATATAACCATGTATATATATAGAGAGAGAGAGGAAGAAAAAGTTTATGATTTCATTTTCTTCTATATCTAATATTCAAGAACCCTTTGGGTGGAGAAGTTATTTGGTGGTCTTGGATTTGGATTTGGGTTAATCATTCCATATATATATATATATAGTTGTATGAATATGTATATACATGTCCTCACTTCATATTTTTTTAACTTCATACTTGATAGTCCACCCTCCTACCTCATCTCACACTTCAACTTCATATTATTTAGAAGCCCATCTGAGCCAAAATCATAAATCTCCAACCATTTTTCTAGCTCTAGAACCTCTCTAAATAGGAAAGTGAAGTCAGTTTTTAGAAACTTCAATGAACATCAAACAATGGTAGGAAAAGGCAATGCATTTTCAACAACAAAACCATAACTTTTTATAAATAGTCCGTAGTTGCAAACACCCACCAACCTCATCCCATCTCCTCTACTCAACCAACACCCACCACCCACCACCTTTCCCTCGCACGGCATCCATTGTGGTAGCCACCATTACAATTTGGGTCTTGGCTTAGTTAATTGGATATACCTATGTATATAATTATTTGTGTCTATAATGATAAAGAAAATATGAAGGATGATGGTGGTTACCATGGTAGAAAATGATAGATGTAGATTTTAGAAAAATAATGAAACAAAAATTAAAAGGAAAGATGGAAAAATAAGGGAGATAAGCTATAGAGAGAGAGAGAGAGAGAGAAAAGCATTTTAGAGAGAAAAGCAACGTCTTGAGTTTTCAAAAAACTTGGAAATAAGAAGAATGTAAGGAATTATCCAGTGTGGTTAAGGAAAAAAAAATTGATTTTATGATCGTGCAACACACACTCTGTTAAAACAAACGGTTATGTCCGAAATTATACTTTGGTATGAAGTTTAGGGGGTTTAAGTATTACTAATAAAATTACAGGGGGGCTTCATATTTTTTGGATAAATTACAGGGGATTAAATTATAATTTACCCTAGTTTTTATTTTTATTTTTTTTCACATTGATCAACTATTAGTTTAATTGACTTGAGATGTCAACCTGGAGAACTAGTTGTTAAATTTTGGGCTTACGTCAACTTGGTCCATATTCCACCCTCAACTACGATGGGCTTGGATTGAATCCACTCCAACTTGGTCCCCTTTATCGACTTCTACAAAGCAAAGCACTGGATCCAAAGCCAATTAGTTTTGGTATCAAACCAGCCTAGTGATAGAATGGATATGGAACTAGTTTTCATAAAGGTCTTGCTAACTAAAGTGAGAAAATGTCAAAATAGTAGGAGTTCTAAAACAATTTTCATAAGATTTTGTTTAAAAAACACGCGTTGACAAATTTAAATTAGTTGTGCATTATTTATTTCAAAAAATTGTGTACGATAAAAAATGTACTATCATTTAAAATTTCATTAACCAATACAATTAGAGTACTCATTAATGAAACTTATTAAAAAATCAATAATGCTAGGTATCATGAAAACAATGTCATGAAAAGTTTTTTTGAAAATTCTCTACCATTAGATTAGATTATAGTATTTGTAGTATTTTATTGTATGTTATGCATTCACTATTGAATTAGTTTCATGAAGTTTTTCATGATATTTATTTCATGATACGTAGTATTACCCTTAAAAAATACTTCACACCACTAGTTCAACACTATTAATGAACCACTAATGACATAACATCACGTGGAAGTTACTATTGATGTTATAGTTTGGTCTTTGTTTTTTTTTTTTTTTTCCCTTGCATTTGCCAACTCATTAATGATACTTTTAAAACTGTTGATTTAGTGCTTTAAATCAGAACTGAAACTTAGGGCTAGTTTGACATAGACTATATAATCCATCTTTTTATCTTTTTTCCATCACATCACCTCTCTACTTTTCTGCACATCTTTTCGTAAAAAAACAAAAAATACACTTTTTTAGGACACGCCAAACCAACCCATTTTCACCTATTTTCAAACACTTTTCACACAAATAAGCATATTGTAGGCCGGATGAAACCGTAATTGTTAGATTGTGTCATCTCTAACACTTTTAATAAATTAAGGCGTTGGCTTCTGTCTAGTCCTTAATCGAACTGGACCGTGCTGTTGGTCCTATGAGGGCCCAACACGGGTTCCGTTTTGATAATCTGAACCGTTTAATGTGTAGAACTCGTCGAGTACTATAAGCCTGTAAAAAATCACGTTAATCAGATATCGGTAGCTATGTGATCAAATCAGATTTTTGTCAACCGTTAATTTATTCACCGTCCATTTTTTTTTTATACAAAACTAATTTCATCACATAGCTACCGATGTCCGATGATTTTTTACAGGTTTATAGTACTCGACGAGTTCTACACATTGAACGGTTCAAATTATCAAAACGGGACCCGTGATGGACCTCCACAGGCTCAACAGTACAGTCCAGCCCGATTAAGGACTGGACCGAAGCCAAGCCCTAAATTAAAGGCTTACATTTTGTCTATTCATTAACCTATTAAAAATTGAATAATGTCTTTTCTTAAATATAATATTATGTTTATAGTAATAGACAAAATCTGAATCAATAATATTTTTAAAAATGTCAACATGGCAAACATCCATTAATCTGGATGATGTCCAATTTGATCTAAATAGAAGACAAGCTTTATTATTTGTGATCAACCATCACTTAGAATTATTATTACCATTTCTGTTTTTTATTTAATGAATCACACCTATATATAAAACATAAAAAAGCTTGATTTGATAATTTAATATTAATGGTTAAAACAAATAAAGATTGTCTCAATCAAATGTAATTATTAGGGTTGTGCTATCCAATTAATAATCTTTACACCAAATGCATATCACCCACCCTATGACTTGGTGTTAATTTTCCTCTTTACTATTGTAAGAAGATTGTTCATGAAGATACATAAAATCTTAAAAATCCTTTCATTACAAAAATAAATAAAGAAATAAATAAATAATAATAATCTTTAATTTTAATGTCCCTGGTTTTTTTAAAATTTTTTTTTATTACATGAAAAAGTTAGTGTGCTTAAAATAAATTTTTTAATTGTAAAAAAAAATGATTAGATGACATGTATAATGTGATATTTCAATATTTTTCGCTAAAAAATCATAAATATAAATGAATCATAATGTGATAAAAAAAAATAAAACACTCGTCATTTTCATTTAATTTTAACTTTTTAGATGTGAAAATAATTTTTTTAAATGTAAAAAAAAATTCTTTTCTAAAATTTATTTTTATGAAACTAATTTTTAATTTGAAAATAAAACCATTTTAATTTTTTCCAAAATTTTCTCATTTACCTATCTTTCATTTATCTTTTCCTCATATTTTTTTCTCTCTCCCATCACTTGCAACGGTCACTAATATTTTTAACATTTTTTAAAAAAAAATTTATGCACCTACCGTACACGTAAAACTGTATCAAGTCAATTCCTTGATTTCCCTTCCCACGTAAGAAAGGGACTCCAAGGTTATTTTTATCCAAATTCAAGGGTAAATATGGAAAACAAAACAGCTCTTTAAATCGACTCTCTGTATTTCTTTCACTGTTTCTCTGTCTCTCTCTCTCTATCTCTCTCTCTCACACACACACACACATTGAACATGCAGAGGCAGTCTCTGGGCTCACCGAATTCGAAGCTCCATAGCCATGGAGGAGTTGTTGGAGAGAAGGAAGAGAACCTCTCTGGAGAAGACCAGAAGCGTAAGGACCAAGCTTCGCTCACTGCCGACGACGACGAAGATAACGACAAGTCACAGAAGCCTCTCAAATCGCCTCCGAGACCTGAGAAATTCATTCACCTCATTCCTCTTCTCACCGTCCTTTGCTTCCTCATCCTCTACCTCTCCTCTCACGATCCATCTCAAAAAGGTAAGTGGATTAGGCACTACTAATAATGTTCCTCCTCATTACGATATGCTTTTAATCTAGTGATTCTGTGTTTTTTTATTCAGATTTGGCTCAGTTCAGGGGATTTAATCGATTGTCGAAGTCAATAGGTATAATGCAGATTGCAATGCGTACTGCTTTGTGTTTTTTGGAAATGTTTTTTTGGGTGTTTTGTTGTTGATTATTGAGTTTTCTCTGCTTTGTGCTGTGTAGATTCGACAGAGATTGACGATATCGGACGATTTTCGGATATCAAAAAAGGAGATGTTTTAGCTATTCGGAGCCTCAGGAACTTGCAGGAGATCGGAAAACATGCTACGAAATATCGCCTTCACCGGAAAATCGGCTTCTTCTAGTTCGCATTCTCTCTCTCTCTGTCTCTCTCTCTCTCTTTTCTATCTCTCTGAGTTCACACAGGTGGAGACTCCGTCGGTGGAACTCGCACGTGAGAACTCAGAGGTACCATTTTTTTCGCGCGTGTGGACATGCGATTGCGCATGTAAATTTGTTCTTTTGTGTACGCAGCTTGGCGCGTGTGCTCTCTGTGAGAAAATTTCATTTTATTTTTATACAGTATAATTCCAGAATTATTCTCACGAAATAATAAAAAATAAAAATAAATAAATAACAGTAGTACATCATGTGAGTGAAGGGTTGTACTCTGTGGTGGGTTTGGCTAACGTACGCTTCCAAAATGCGCTGGCGTTGGTTGGATTACAGCTGGAGGTTCAGGCCGTTAATGAACCTCGTGGTGCGGTTGGGTTTGCCAACTGGAAAGTTCGAATGCTTAGCTCTCCCTTTTTGTTAGTATTAACTGCTTTGGGAAAACTTATTGCTTCACCGAAGAATGGATACTTGACTTGTTCAGTAATAATATACTATTATTTTTTATAAATTCATATGAATTTATAAAATTAAAAAATTAATATACTCTAAAATTTCAAGTTTATGTTGATTATATGCTATGATTGGATTTTTAATAAGAAAGTGTTTAGACTCTTAAAAGATAGTAATTCTTATATTGACTTATGATGTCAATTAGAAATTAGGGAACTAAAAATTTTGCCGCATTAGTTTAGAGATTTTCACCTCCAGCTGGCTATTGGGGCCACTGCATCTTTGTTTGATTGATCGACTCAGAATTTTGAGATTAGTCATGCGACACTCCGAAGGATACTGGCTTGGATATTTGGTTATCAAATAAATAATATTGGAAATCGTGAAAAAAATATCATGAAATTCTTCATGAAAATTTCTCCTCCTTTGATAGTGTGTAATTTTTTTTATATGTGTAATCTAACGGTGGAGAATCTTTCATGATTATTTTCATGAAACTGAGTTTTCATGATGATTATGAGTCAAATTTAAATAATTTGATTATTTTTATTTTTATTTTTATTTTTGCGAAACTGGTTTTTCTAGCGGTGTGAGAATAGCCATCTGGACTTTTTATTCAATTGAAGAAAAAGAAAATGTTAAATATATTTAAAAAATTATTAATCAAATACACTCTTGAGATTTGATTAAAATATGAATCGTCTTCTGTGATTTTAAAAATTATATTCATAACAGATCGTCTTTTTTGTTAATAAATTATCAAGTCAATTAATCATTTTTAATGATATTAAAAATATATTTCAATTAATAATTTAGGTAATTTTATTATTGTATAGGAGAATAATTTTGAATTTTATTTTTTTAGTTAATTCTATTAAATAAAAAAATTTAATAATGAAGTATTTGTAATTTTTTAAATCACAAGAAATAACCTGTATTTTAAATAAATTTCAAAATTTATATTTATAATTTACCCTTAATGTGGTATGTAATAAAAATAAATAATTTTATAAATAAAATTTAATAATTTGTGAATTTGTGTCGGCACAAAGTGTGCATACATTTAATCTTAAACGGTCGATCAGGCAAAAAAAGCTTGTGGATAAATTTCATTGGGTTATTAGATATTTGTTTACTCGTTAATTTTAGAATTTTAAAATTAATTAAAATATGTATAAATTAATTTGAACAACTTTATTTAAAAAAATAAAAAAGAAAATGAAAGCTTTTTCTCTCTATCTTGTCTCTCGCATTTGTTGTGTTGGTTGGACTTATATTTGGCTTTGATGATGACTATGATGATGATCGGAAGGAGATAATGCGGAATTGTAATGATGTCACGTGGCACCGCCTAATAGGTGCAATTATGTGATGGGCCCATTACGGGTGGAGGCCCGAATATATCTCTCTCTTGTGAGTGGGCCGGTCGCATTAAGAATCTGCGTGTCACGATGATGATAATGACAAAAAAACCCATATGAAAGTAGCTAAATTGACGACGTGGCGACGCATATTAGGTGACCGCGGGACCACGGCGCTGTTTGGTGAGGTCGAGCATTGGATTCTGCCGGCGGTCTCTTTCTTTGGACAAAAATAAACTTTCAATTAAACAAAAGTGAAATAAATAAATCAAACAAGTTTAATTTCTTTAAATAATTTTGAATTTTTTATTTTATAAAGTCATACAAAATACAATTTTCATTAACTTAATATGTAGAAATTTTTTAAGTTGAAATGGATTTAGTCTGAAGTTTTATTTTCATATTTAGGAGTTATTTGAGATGACTTAAGTAAATGTACTTTTTATCTTTTTACGAAAAGATGTGCAGAAAAGTAGAGAGATGATGTGATGGAAAAAAGATAAAAAGATGAATTATTTTGTGTATGCCAAACTTAGCCTTAGTTTGGTAATATTAAAAGAAATTGAATATATATAAATAAATAAATAAAACATTTTCTAAAATTTACTTGGCTTGCATGGCTTTCATTAGTTATTGTTCTAGAATATACCATGGTTTTCGTTAATTTAGTATTTGATGATTGGAGATGTATGGTAGGGTTTGCAACTTTTTCATAAGCAAAAACCAACTTAGATTACTACCCACCCCAAAAAAACTGGCATTGACCAAAACCTCCCTTCTCTCTCTCTCATCATCAAACAAAAAAAATAAAAAATGAAAAATTCTGTGTATGTTAAAAAAAAAAATACTTTGGAATTTTAATTCTTAAATTCTAAAATTAGCTCTAATGAGCTTGGCAATAAATCTTACCTACTGTGATGTGATGTTTTAATTTTAGTTTCTTTTTTTTTTCTCATTACCATGTTATTAATATTCTATCAAAGTACAAAAATTAATCCAGTGGTAATTAGGACCTCTAATGATAGAGCTCTATTGACGTGGCACCATTAAGAAAAAAAAACAAAAAAAAAACAAAACAAAACAAAGTAAAAGCTAATACATCAAATCACACAGTGAGATTCATAATTTAGAACGAGTTCACAATTTAATAGTCTGAAACATTTTTCAAATTAATCCTGTAAGTCATTGTTGATGTTTCAATTGGGTTTGGTCCGACATCAGAATTAAAATTGGAAAAATGCTTGGGAGCACTAATTAGTGCTCCCACTAATTAGGTGGCAGTGGGTCTCGCCATTAATGATGTGATGTTTTGGTCTTGGAATTGTATTTTTTATTTTTTTTTATTTTTTTAATGCATTAGTGCTATTAGTGGTGATGTTTTTAGTGGGATGAATCATTATTGTTAAAATTAAAGATGATGAATGAATGGACCAGCCGTCACGGGTGGAGCCTTCTCTGTCCTTTTCTTCTTCTTTCTTTCTTTCTTTTTTTATTAATATTTTGATTTTTGATTACTTGACATGGATAAATATGCAAAGAACAATCTGGGAGTGACACCATTAATCCACCAAGCAAGCTTAATTTAGATGAATTAAACCAAGTACTTACGTGGGGGTTTCATTTTTTGTTTTTGTCTTTTTTTGGTCTAGGTGGCGAGTTAAGTTTGTGTGATAATTTAATTAGTTAATTGAATGTATTATATCTACTCCAAATACATAACAAATAAGTGTTTCTATAGTTTTTGGTATTTATTGCCTAATATCATGGGCTAAGTTAAAAAATAAAATAATATTATATGCACCAATTACTATATCAATTGGTGTACTAACAGATGATATGACATAATTTTAGAATTTTGAATTTTAATTCTTAAATTCTAAAATTAGCTCTAATGAGCTGGCAATAAATCTTACCTATTGTGATGTGATGTTTTAATTTTAGTTTTTTTTTTTTTTCTCATTACCATGTTATTAATATTCTATCAAAGTACAAAAATTAATCCAGTGGTAATTAGGACCTCTAATGATAGAGCTCTATTGACGTGGCACCATTAAGAAAAAAAAACAAAAAAAAAACAAAACAAAACAAAGTAAAAGCTAATACATCAAATCACACAGTGAGATTCATAATTTAGAACGAGTTCACAATTTAATAGTCTGAAACATTTTTCAAATTAATCCTGTAAGTCATTGTTGATGTTTCAATTGGGTTTGGTCCGACATCAGAATTAAAATTGGAAAAATGCTTGGGAGCACTAATTAGTGCTCCCACTAATTAGGTGGCAGTGGGTCTCGCCATTAATGATGTGATGTTTTGGTCTTGGAATTGTATTTTTTATTTTTTTTTATTTTTTTAATGCATTAGTGCTATTAGTGGTGATGTTTTTAGTGGGATGAATCATTATTGTTAAAATTAAAGATGATGAATGAATGGACCAGCCGTCACGGGTGGAGCCTTCTCTGTCCTTTTCTTCTTCTTTCTTTCTTTCTTTTTTTATTAATATTTTGATTTTTGATTACTTGACATGGATAAATATGCAAAGAACAATCTGGGAGTGACACCATTAATCCACCAAGCAAGCTTAATTTAGATGAATTAAACCAAGTACTTACGTGGGGGTTTCATTTTTTGTTTTTGTCTTTTTTTGGTCTAGGTGGCGAGTTAAGTTTGTGTGATAATTTAATTAGTTAATTGAATGTATTATATCTACTCCAAATACATAACAAATAAGTGTTTCTATAGTTTTTGGTATTTATTGCCTAATATCATGGGCTAAGTTAAAAAATAAAATAATATTATATGCACCAATTATTATATCAATTAGTGTACTAACAGATGATATGACATAATTTTAGAATTTTTAAATATTTGTAATTTATACAATAGGTGGGGTCAGTAATAATGACATGAGATATGTTGGTATATTAATTGATATACCAATTAATGCATGTAGCACCATCGTAAAAAATATTTTACAGATTAACAAATTTTATAATTTTTTTAACTAATAGATTTGGCAAATAAAGATGGAAAATTGGAATTTGAAACAGAATCACTTAAATAATGGTATAATAGGAACAAGGAAAATGATTTTTTCCCCGAATTTTGTCCCCTCTAATCCCCCGAATGCCCAAAATGACGTCGTTTTGGGCATTCTTTTTTTTTTTTTCTTCGTCTTCTTCTTCTTCATGCAGGTGCAGGTTTGAGACAGAGGGAGAAAGAGAGGGAGAAGGAGAGAAGAGAGGCCAATCGTCGCAGCACTCCAGTCCAGTCCGATCGGCGGCCGATCGTCGCAGCTCGCAGCTCGTCGGCCGATCGTCTCCGCCCCGCCTCCGCCTCTGCCTCCGCCCCCTGCCCAGCCTGGTTGATGTTGTCCAGTCCTTCTTCTTCTTCTTCTTCTTCTTCGAATTCGGGGGATTCGGGAGAGGGGACTTTTGAGCTCCCTAGCACGGCTCTAGGAACATACCTTATCACCCATCAATCTTCTACTAGTCAGTTTCCAAAAACAAAAGCAAAAAACTTGACCTTGCTTTAAAAGCAAAGGGAGATGTTACCATGTACGCGTTAAAAAAGTACATATATATGTTTGTTATAATTTTTTTATAAAATTTTATAATTTAAATACAAAATGTTTTAATTTTTTCATTTCAAAAATGTCAACTTTTTTTTCACTAAAAAATGACATAATAAAATCCCAAAATATCATAACAAAAATCATAAAGTGTCATTTAAGGTGTACATCATAAATTTATTATTTATAATTTTATCACAAAATATCATAACATACATCACAAATAATCATAACATTCATTATAAAAAATTATAACTTTTTTACTATATACATTACTAAATTTCTCCAGAATACAAAATAGGTAAATAGCCAAAATATAGACGTCTTCCTTAAGAGAAAATTAATGAAAAAATCTTATATACATTTCTTTTAGTTTGTGTCTCAACTAGGGCTGCAAACGAATTGGGTTGTTTACGAGTTGGCTTGATTCATCTCGACTCAGCTCGGCTCGGTTCATTAAAGGAGCTTAGCTCGAACATGAATGTTATGCCTCATTTAATAAACAAGTTGAGCTCAAACTCAAATAAACTTGGCTCAGTGGGGGTGTTTGATGGGGCTTTTTTGAGTCAGCTTATAGCTTCTGGCTTTTAAAAAGTTATTTTGGACTGTTTGGTTAAACTTATTTCAAACAATTTCTGATTCTAACAACTTATTTTAAGTCAAAAAAAATTGATTTTAAGAAGCTGCTTACCCCTTACTTTTAATTATCAACTTCTGCTGTGGACATGTTAATTTACGGTTATACTCTTAGATTTTTTTATTTTTTATTTTTTTAAAAATAGAAAAAGACCCAAATGGACTATAAAATATTTTTATTATTTTTTATGAAAAATGTAGATAAACAGTAAATAATAAAAAATAAAAATAAATTAAAAAAGCTACTTCACAACTTATTTAACAAACACTACTCAGCAACTTAAATCTATAATCCAACAGTTATACTAAACAGATTAACAGCATCTGATTAAAGTCATAATCTATAATCTGCTAAGCTATAATCTATAATCTGTTTTAACAACTACACCAAACAAATTTAGCTCATTTATCTTTATTTAAATTATATATTAAATAATATATAAATATATAAAAAATAGTATAAATACATTATTTTTGTATTAAATAATGTAAATAATAATTAAAAAAAATCTTATGAAACTGTGACCAAATTTTATTAATATTAACAAGCTGAGCCGAATTCGAACTCAGTTAGTTATCAAGTCGAATTCGAACTCAATAAATAAACGAATCGATTTCAAACTCAACAAAATTTGGCTCGACTAATATGCAGTCCTAATTTCAACTAAGAGAGTTTACAATTATTGTGTATTTCTATTCTGTTGTAGAATTTTAAGGCACGTAAATTTTAAAATATGATATATTAAAACAAGAGAATAGATAAATAAATAAATAAAAAATAGAGAATATTGTGCTTAAATGAGTAGAGGGCAGAGCAAATGAGGAAGAATATAAAGTTATTTTATGTTATTATTTAAAGAGAAAATATGATAGGTTGGACAACAACATTGACAAAATTTTCCTAAATGACCCCACAGAATAGATGAACCACAGTAAAGCATATATGCATGCATTATTTAATCCAATAATTTCAAAAACATTTTTCTAGAAAAAGTGGGGGCCAGTACGAGGGCACTTTCTCATTATTAACAATCCAGGCTGCCCATTATTACAACCTCACTATTTTTACCATGGATCATCATACCTATTGATGAATAACAACATTTAACTTAAAGTCAAGGCAACACTGCAAGATCATCAGTTGACCAAATTTCACTATGAAACAAATAATGGATCACGGAATGGTTTACAAAAAATATAATCAAAATATGAAATTAAGGCCTCGTTTAAGAACAGACTAATTTAGTAATTTTTTAATTATTTAGTTAAAATATTAATTAAAAAAACTAGTATGTCTGGGATGATTTTTTAACTTTTTAACTTTTTACGAAAAGATGTGTAAAAAGTAGAGAGTAAAGAGAATCTTTGACTTTTTGGTATGGATTATTAACTTTTTGACTAATTTAATAATTTTTTGACTTTTTGACTAAAAAGGAGAGTTCCCAAACGAGACCTAAATTAAGTTATAAAAGGATTCACATTCACAAGGTTGAGATTAAACCTAATTACGAAAAAATCTACATTTACATAAATCATAGCTAATTATTACACTTACTTTATGTTTTATTTATGTTCTTAATATTAGTAATTCCACCATGAGGTGTGTAGAACAACCCTCTCTCTCTCTGGATTCCCAATAACTATTTTGTGCGAAGGCTGCACAAACACTCACATGCTATGATAGTTCACTCAACCCCCAACCCTAACCTAGAGGTTATAGAAGCTTACAACTCCATCTAGAATGTCATCTAAATGGACCTAGACTAGATATACAAGTACCAACTTGATATGTAAAAATATTTTAGTAGTGTGAACATAAATAGTTTCTAAAGAAACCTTGATCTTGCAGCCTCCAGTACTTAAAGCCCACCAATGTGGATCATGTGAAATGGTTCTACAAACATTTGACTCATTACACAGCACAAACCACTCAGAGAAATGAAATAGATATTATACACAATCTAACATCTATCCCATCAAAAGTTACTTTCTTTTCCTTTTTCTTGAAAAATGTGGACCAGATCTCTCAATTTAACATTTAAATCACAAATATTAGCAGCTCCAACTGGATGTATATATATCAATTAACTGAACTAATTTAGTTGGTCACTCATATACTCTTTTTTTCATTGTCAACGTGTGGGAGCGCTTTTAGTCATTTTAAACAAAATTTAGACCTCGCTTGGGAATAGGCTATTTCAATATCTTTTTTACTTTTTGACTAAAATATGAAGTAAAAAAAACTAATATGTTTGGAATGACTTCTAAATTTTTTATGAAAAGATGTACAAAAAATAAAAAGAAAAGAGAATCTTTGACTTTTTTATTTTTTTAGTGATTCTTTGACTTTTAGGCTAAAAAATGATATTGTCAAACGAGACCTTAGTACCAACAAGGACAAAGTGCAAAAATGACCAAAACCACCAAATAAATTAAATTTTGAAAAAAAAAAAAAAAAAGGCTCAGTACATATCATGCAACTGTAAGAGGGCCCTAAATTATTGGACCTCCATGTTTCTTGGGTGCGGCCATTCTTCGGTTCATCCTATCTTCATGATCTTTTGTCAAGCATTGGAAGAAAAGAGGGTTTGATACCAAGCTTCTGTAGTCTTCGGTTCATCCTATCTTCATGATCTTTTGTCAAGCATTGGAAGAAAAGAGGGTTTGATACCAAGCTTCTGTAGGGTGTGATTTCATTTCAGTGGTCTAGCCTAGGCATCTCATGAACAGTGTGAAAGATTATCTACATTATTGTCCTTTGATGCACATAATGGAACAATCAAAGAGAGACTACCAAAGAGAGACAACCAAAGAAAGACTGGACAGGCAATTCTTAAATCTTTTGTGTCACAATTATTGAGATTTTGGGGGACCCTAACCTCAGATTGACAAGTATATGCTTGTCCAGGTCGATGCTCATTTGCATCACCCTTTTTTAAAACGTCTTTCTATTCAAATAATAAACTAGTATCTCTTGAAAAAGCAAAGTAAGGGTTTACACAACTTGCACCAAAAGCTTGTCCAACTTAAATTTTAAAGAAGACGTATGTTGAAGAACCTTTTCCAATTCCAGTCCCAAAAGCCCCACCCGAAGCCCAAAAACATTCTTCCAGAAAGTTTCCTTAAGAAAACAACCCTATCACAAACCTCGCAGGGAATTTGAACAAATGAAACGATCAAAAAATGATGAAGAATGCAAGAAGGATGACAAATGGATTAAGACGAAAACAAAAACAAAACATCTAATCCGGATCCAAACCACTCAACAAAGTTCAATTTATTAAAAATTTAAGAAAGCACATGGTCAAACACATTGAGTGCAATCAAATCCAACTATAAAGGCACATTGTTCTACATTTCACCCCTCCATGAATTGGAGGAGCAGGATATCAAGACTCTATAATCGAAAAGTTTTGACCAATGTATTTACAGAAAGTGAAAAATCAGAGAATCAAACCTTGTGCCGGTGCGGGCTTTGAAGATTGCTGCAGATTTGGTGATTTAGGTGACTCGGATAAATGAATCTGCGCAAATTCATCCACCATTTTCCTTCGCTGTTCCTCTTCAGCCATTCCTACCTTCTGTTTTGTCTTTTGGCCAACATCTCCAGCTGCCTTTGCAACTTTACTAAAAGCACCAGTCACCCACGTAGTTCCAGTTTGTACATACGGGTTCTTCATTATGGCTGATCCAGCACTACTGACTTTTTGCTCAGCAACAGCATATGCTGATTTGGTTTTGTCAGAAACCTGAAATTTCTGATCTACTCCCCGAACCTTCTCATTAACAACAGAAGTCCCAGCGCTAAACTTTTCGCTAAGCCCGATTTTTTTGTCAAAAGAAACAACCTTAGCTGTGGCTGTGGAAGTCAACTGGTGCTTCTCATCAAAGGACTTGACCTTGCTGACCGCATCTTTGCCTAACACAAAGCCCTTTGCAAGCACGCCGCTGACTACATCCTCTGCCTTCCGAAAAGCAGATTCAGAACCACCTGCGGTTTTGTTTTCTGTTTTCTGCAGAGTTCAAGCAAAAATTAGGTCACAAAGATTCATTAGTTGTGTTCTTGGTTGTTTTGTTAGAACCTTATTCTCTTGTTGAATTTTAAATTGAATGAATCTTACAATTCACCTGCGTGTCATTATGATTCTGCGTGATTCACTATGATCCAGTCCTGTTTGCTTAATGCATAAAACAATTGTTTTTGCAAAATAATATATATATATATATATATATAAATTAATTATATTGATATACATGGATTTATATGTATATACATATTTACAATTTAGTTATATTGATATTTATTTCATTTTAAACACTATGTTTGTAATTTTATATACATATACATATATAAAATTATATATTATGCTAAATAAAGTGAATATTCACTATTCGAATAAGATTCAAAATTCACTATTTTAGCAAAACGATTTACGATTCAATTCGCAATTTGAAAACAATGTTACATATGAAAGTTGAAGCTTTAAAGATGACTCCTTACAAGAGGAGCTGCAAAAGCAGCAGGTGGAAGCTGATAATCTGGATCCAGATTTATGGTGACGGTCAGATCAACTATTGTTGCTCCCTGAGATCAGATCAAATGTCATAGTCAAAAAGTCCCCATTTATTGTAAAAGATTACAGAGGCATCATATAATTGCGTTAAAGTGCTATACAGTAATATCTAATAAAGAAAAGGTCAATTTAAATTTGTTAATACCGAGACTTGCTACGAAGACAGGCCCCATCTAGAAGTAGAACAAGCATATAATTGTATATCATATTAGTCAAATCCTATCAAACTTGGGATGTCAAAAACTAGTTTACTTAAAATGCACCTGGAAAACAATCTAGAAAACCAATCAAACTTTCCAACGTAGTTACATATGATGTGGTTATTCACAATCAATCAATTAAACACCAAGAAAACATTTTCCTTTTTCTTTAGTCAGAAACAAAAGTTGAGCATGAGATCATCCATTGCCATTGCCCTTCAACTTGCTAAAACAACCTTGGTAATATGAGAATTAATGGAATATGAGCATGAGCACTACCAAACCTAACCAATTAACCTGTTTAATTCTGGAAAAACATTTTTTCGAGTCAAATAAATAAAATAAATAAAATAAAAAGATTCATTGGTTAGAAGAAAGTCGTACAGAGCATAACATGGGGAACTTGGCTTAATAGGTTAGGGTTATAGGTTTGCAGGACAATGATGAGTAGTAGATCTAGTGTTAGGGAAAACTGTGTCACAAGATCATGGCCCCCAGTTTCACATATCAAACAAATCATCCATGGAAGACTTAACTACAAAAGATCGGATCTCCTCTTAATGAGAGAAAACCAATAGATAGGCCATGAATTGGAGGAGTTTGATCGGGTTAAGTTGTTTTATAAGTACAGGTATATATCTATAAATTAGAATGACAAACCATTTTACTTTTTCTCAACACATAGAAAAGGACAAATATAACTGGGAATTCATTTCCCAAAGTTGGGGAACTGGTTCAAAATTATCGGTAAAGCCACATTTGCAAGCTACCCATCTCACCATTCAGTTTGTACTATGCAAGCCTCATCGAGGAAGCTCTCTTACCGTCCCCAGTATGAATGATTCACCAAAAAGAAAACTACACAGCTTCCCTCAATCTGTTTGCAATCCTTTTCAATGCTATCAACCCTAGGGTTGTGTTTTTCCAGCAAAACTAAACTGACTTGTGGTGCAAAAACGACCAACATTGTAACCGAACCATACATTCACTATAAAATCCAGTTCATGCAATTAGCTTATACAATTTCTCAATAGGTGGCAAATTTTTCATGATAGGTTCCTAACGAGGGGTGAAGGGGGGCCACTACCCCTGAGTTTGAGAATTTCTCTGTACCCTTCTCTGCATATGCAGGTAATTTAGGAAACCATAGTGCCAACTGTTAAATTCCAAAATATCATATCTCAAATGTGAGATAATAATTGCTTTATTTTCACATAGTTTATACAACTTTTTTTTTACTCACTCAAGCTACCTGCAACTTGGAGCTTGACCCAGCTGGCCTACTGGATTCCAATGCTGACATAATTATTTGGGAAGATTCTATGTAAAACTTTCATAGGAAATTAAACAAGTTATTTTCTTTAAGTTTTATGTCAGCTGCAGTTTGGTAACTATGGGCTGTAGGTAGGGCTGCCATAGTAGCTCAGTTCCACACCAATCTCGCTTGGCCACCAAGTTCTCTTGGACTGGACTTGGTCTCTCCTTTATATATGATTTATTGGTTTCTTTTGGGCAATGAAACGAAGAAGTTTTTCAAGATTATTTTCGATGAGATGTGATGCTTCTTTCTTAAGCTGTGAGCGACTTAGACCCAAATCTCATACTTTTCTTCTCCTGCACTTTCAAGTCTTTAAAAGCTGTAACACATCCCACCTATACCTTTAAAACTTTATTTAATTTGTCTAACCCACTCATCCTCTGACCTTCATTCAAAACCTAGAAAATAGACCCAAACCATCCAGGGTACTTTTTCTTGTGACACTGTTCACAGCTCCAAACTTCATCTTTATATGCTCAATTAGATCCTCAAACCCTTGCCTCTTTAATACACCTTGCAATAAGGGTGGGAATTTGCCACACGACACGATAACATAAGTCAAGTTGTACATGAAATTAGCGAGTTAGGGTTGACCATTTCTTGATCCGATAATACAAATATTAAATAGACCGGGCTAGTGTCAAATTTGTATAGCACGAAATTGACACGGATAACCCGTATAATGAAGAATTAGTTACACATTTAAATATTATTTCCATTAAAGAGTATTATGACATTTTTTAATCTTTTATGTAATTACATCAAATTTATAAAAAGTATGTAAAATATGATTTTAAGTTTAATATAGGTTTTGTTTTTGCTTTTAATTGAACTTAATGTATTTTTTGTCTATTATTTGAGTTAATCTAGTAAAAAATATAATAATAAAATATAATTTTTATAAATTAAGAAAATACAATTAAGTTGAAATTAAATATTTTTATAAATAATTTCATTTAATAGAGATTAGTTTTATTAAATTTAATTTATGAAGAAATTTTCAAATTTTTTTCATACATTTGATAATTTTAGTTAATAGTGAAATTTTTAGACATGACAAGTTAATACGACACGAACCGGACATAGACTGAAAATGACACGGCACGATAACATGAAATAAAAACAGGTCGGGTTAGTGTTGAGGTGATTTTGACACAAACCCGAGATGACACGACACAACACGACGCCCACCCCTACCTTACAACCCCATAAGAGCCTATTAGTTGTGTCACTACTAGCCACAAAACCCAATTTTTAGCTCTCATATAGTGCTGAATTCATCAAAGATCTGCATCACCTGGATTGGTTATCACTCTGATATCACACCAATTTCAGGTCCTAGATGTGGAGCTGTACCAAAAATACTAAAATATAGATTCCAGAGTGTGATCTCTTTGAAACTTTATGATGATAGCACATGACACCCAGCACAAAGAAGACACTTCATATACTGTGAAGTGAAAAGCAGTTTTTATTAACTTTTTCGGCAAATCCTGAAAAATAACCCTGTTTCATATTTAAAGTTCAAACACGCCATAAATGGATTTGCCATAAAGAAAAACATTATAATATTGAATGCAATGACAAGTAAACTCACCGAAAGTAAGACTGCAGTCTGTGCTCCTTGCGAATCCTTGAAGGTAACAAATGCTATTTGGGATCGCTCAGTATGACTGCATAGACATACGACAAAACTGAAGTTCATATAATAAGGAAAAGAAAAGGTAAAAAGAAAAATGAGTAACTCCTTCAGACAGTAACCTCAGCATTTCAACATATTCAATATCACCAGAAAAGGAAAAGAACTCCTTGACGTCTTGCAAAGTTGCCCCTAGGGAAACATTGCTGACTTTAATGGTTCTTATCTGCAGCAACAAAACAATAATATCAATATAAATATCTGGACAGGAAAAAAATAAGTTGCATGCCATTTCCCAACAGCATAGTTAAATTGATCACACATATTTTTGACCTGCATAAGCAAGGGATAAATAAAGATCAAGCTGCCACCTTATGGGCAAGTATCTAGTCAGTTGGTCCTTCCAATAAGAGAAAAAATTTGTAAGACTAATTATAATCAATAAAGCATTGCCTACTGCAAAAAGTGTAGATAATAATCCCTCAAAACTTTTTAAATAGAAAATCCTATTAAATTTTTTTAGTGTCATTTGGAATTTGAAAATGCTCCATGGGGTATTATACATCAGGGTGTTTGGTATTAGAGGCTTATCATAACATGTTGTAACAGCCACTGACTTGGTCAAATCACAGATCTCATTCAAACTTGTTATCCATTAGATTTAGGAATCAGTTGTTATCTCATTATTGTATTACTATCCCTTCGTCTTAGGAATTAGTTGTTATCTCATTCTTGTATTTAACTATTGTTAATGTTAATAGAAGTAAGCTTTTGAGCATTCCTCTGTCATGGTATCAGAGCTGTAACCGATCCAATTTTTTTTTCCCCTCAACCTATCTTCTCTGTTCTTTACCTCATGGCCACCGAAAACACCAGTCCAACTATTCTCAATACCAATGAACCGAACCAAACACTTATCAGCATTAATGTTGCTGCACAAACTCCTCTCAAACTAACCTCCACCAATTACCTCTCTTGGAAACTTCAATTCCAAACTCTCTTTCTTGGTTACGACCTACTTGGCTATGTTGATGGCTCCAACCCATGTCCATCAGCCACCATTACACAATCTAATACAACCACACAAAACCCCAGTTATGTTCTCTGGACCCGTCAGGATCAGTTGATTCTTAATGCAATCACTGGCTCCCTCTCACCAACCATCATCCCATTCATAGCTCAAGCCAAAACCTCTAGACAAGCCTGGACCATCCTCGCCAATACCTATGCCAAACCCTCTCGTGGATGCATCAAACAACTCAAAGATCAACTCAAAAATACCATCAAAGGTTCCCTTGCCATCACTGAATTTATGCAAACAGTCAAAACCAGAGCAGATGATCTAGCTCTTCCTGGAGCCCTAATTGATGAAGAAGAAATCACCGATAAAATTCTCGATAGCCTCAGTGATGACTACAAAGAATTAGTCCGTGCTGTCCAAGCACACGATAACTCCATTACCTTTGAAGAACTCCATGAAAAACTTCTAAACTTTGAAGTCACTCTTCAATCAAACATACCCGAGCAGCACCAATTTCAGTCATTGCCAATCCCACATCCAAATTCAGCAAACATTGGCGCCCCTTCAATCCTCAACACAATACCACCACTAACTGGCATACACCATACCTTTCTGCCCAACGTCCACCTACTGCTACCAATGCAGGTTTCTCCACCCCACAAGGCCCTCGACCTCCTCCCAGACCATATCTTGGTCACTATCAGATCTGCTGACTCCAAGGCTACACAGCCTAGCGGCGCCCTTCCTTTTGGCTAGTCCCCGTCCAGATGTCTCCCACATCCCACACATCTCCCGCCACCACTCCATGGCAACCATAAGCCCATCTTGCCACCAATCCATCATGGCTCCTGGATAGCGGTGCATCTCACCATGTCACTTCTGACCTCAGTAACCTCTCGCTGCATACTCCTTACATAGGCACTGATGATATCATGATCGGCGATGGCTCCAATCTTCCCATCACTCACACCGGTTCCACCTCTCTATATACTCCTCAGAATACATTTACATTAGACAATGTTCTTTGTGTACCCTCTATGCAGAAGAATCTAATTTCTATATCTCAGTTTTGCAGCTCTAACAACGTTTCCATAGAGTTCTTATCAAATTCTTTTCTTGTGAAGGAACTTCGCACAAGGACAACGCTGCTGAGAGGACACACTAAAGATGGTGTTTATGAGTGGCCAACATCCTCTCCACGGATTGCTTTTTCCACAATAAAGACCACCTCCTTCGCCTGACATCATAGATTAGGACATCCTGCTTTTCCAATTCTCAAACACATTGTTTCTAGCAATAATTTAGGATTATCTTCTTCATTATTATCTCATGATTTTTCTTGTAATGCTTGTCTCTGCAATAAAAGCCACAAATTGTCTTTTTCTAGCTCTACAATTGTCTCTACACAACCCCTTGACGTCATATTTTCAGATGGTTGGACCTCTCCAATTTTATCAACCAATGGCTTTAAATACTATGTCATCTTCATTGATCATTTCACTAACTACATCTGGTTTTATCCAATTAAACACAAATCCGAAGTCAAGGAAGTTTTTATCAGATTCAAAGCTATTACAGAAAATCACTCCCATTCACAATGGTGGTGAGTACATCGCTCTAGCTAATTTCCTCTCCACCTCTGGTATCTCACATCTAACCACTCCACCTCATACACCTGAACACGGCGGATACTCTTAGAGAAGGCATCTCCATATCGTTGAAACAGGCCTTGCTTTACTCTCTCATGCTTCCTTACCCCTTTCCTACTGGCCTTATGCCTTTGCCATAGCCGTATATCTCATAAACCGAATGCCCACACCCACCTTAAATCTCTTCTTCCCTTTCCAAAAAATATTTCAAACTCCACCAAATTACTCTAAATTAAAAATCTTTGGCTGCCTCTGCTATCCTTGGCTCAGACCTTACACATCACACAAGCTAGAGTCACGGTCCAAGCCTTGTGTTTTCCTTGGATACTCTCTCACTCAAAGTGCCTACTACTGTCTAGATCCATCAAACTCCAAATCTATGTCTCTAGGCATGTCAAATTCGTTGAGTCTCACTTTCCATATGCCTCACTGTCTAGCACGTCCCCCACTCCTACATCCAGCCCCATTACCACCTGGATACCTCCACCTATTCGGGTTGTGTCACCTAATCCCCAACCGCCACAACCAACCTCCCCATAACCTGAACCAACTGCACCTAATCCCATTCCAACTCACTCTATGACCATGCGAGCCAAGAACCACATTCATAAGCCCATCCAGAAACTGAATCTTCATACCCAACTCACAAAAGCACTTACTGATCCTAAATGGCGTCAGGCTATGTCTGCTGAGTATTATGCTTTAGTTTGCAATGGCACATGGGACCTTGTACCACCTGCTTCCCAACAGAATATAGTGGGTTGTAAATGGATTTTTCATAGTAAACGCAACTCTGATGGCTCTATTGACAGGTTCAAGGCACGTTTGGTAGCAAAGGGTTTTCATCAACGCCCAAGGGTTGATTATCTAGACACTTTCAGTCACATTATCAAACCAACAACAATGCGAGTTGCTCTTAGCCTCGCTGTTTCTCAGGGTTGGCCATTACGGCAACTTGATGTGAACAATGCATTTCTTCAAGGACACCTCTCCGAAAGTGTTTTCATGCAACAACCACCTGGCTTTGTTGATCAAGATCATCCATCCTATGTCTGCAGCCTTCGAAAGGCAATCTATGGTCTCAAACAAGCACCTCGGGCCTGGTATCATGAACTTCGCACTTTTCTTCTTCAGTCAGGCTTCAAAAATTCTCATGCTGACACTTCTCTGTTTATTCTCACTATTGCTGGTCATATTATTTACCTCTTTGTTTATGTGGATGATTTAATCATCACTGGTGACAATACTCAGCTAGTTGACTCTTTTGTTGCTGCTCTTGCTCATCGATTTTCAATCAAAGATCTCGGTCCATTAACATATTTCTTGGGTGTGGAAGTAGTACCAAATCAGCATGTCATCTTGCTCTCTCAACGGCGATACATCTTGGATATATTGGCTCGAACTAAGATGATTGACGCCAAACCTGTGTTCACTCCCATTCTGACAAGCCCACCTCTGATGTTAAAATCGGGTACCCCCTTAACTGATCCCACAGACTACCAAGCAATTGTTGGCAACCTCCAATATCTTCTGATTACAAGGCCTGACCTTGCCTTTGTTGTTAACAAGCTCTCTCAGTATATGCATACACCAACGAATGCCCACTAGAGTTTTGTTAAACGTCTACTGTGGTATCTCTGTGGAACTATCAATGAAGGCCTCCAACTACATCGCCAGTCCCCATTACAACTTCATGCTTTTTCCGATCATGTTCATCGTGACTTCCCACAGGATTTACAAGCCTTTTCCGATGCAGACTGGGTAGGAAACAAGGACGATTATTCTTCAACTAGTGCCTATGTCATCTACCTTGGTCGCAATCCTGTCTCCTAGAGCTCTAAGAAGCAATACACTGTTGCTCGCTCTCTACTGAAACTGAATACAGGTCAGTGGCTCATGCAGTAGCAGAACTCAACTGGCTCTATTATCTTCTCACTGATCTTGGCATACAACTCTCTTGCTGTCCAGTTATATACTGTGACAATGTTGGTGCCACTCAGCTCTGTTCCAATCCCGTGTTTCACTCCAGAATGAAACATGTTGCAATTGAATTTCATTTCATTCGGGATCAAGTCCAAAATGGTGTCCTTCGTGTTGCTCATGTGTCTTCTGCAGACCAACTTGCTGACGCACTCACCAAACCTCTTCCACGTGCTCGTTTTCTTGATCTCAAATCCAAGATTGGACTTCTCTCTCGAGCTCCATCTTGAGGGGGCATATTAGAGGCTTATCATAACATGTTGTAACAGCCACTGAGTTGGTCAAATCAGAGATCTCATTCAAACTTGTTATCCATTAGATTTAGGAATCAGTTGTTATCTCATTATTGTATTACTATCCCCTCGTTTTAGGAATTAGTTGTTATCTCATTCTTGTGTTTAACTATTGTGAATGTTAATAGAAGTAAGCTTTTGAGCATTCCTTTGTCATTTGGTGTAGATTAAATAAGCTAATTATAGCTTATTTTAATTTAAGAGCCTGTGTCAGACTATTTGGTATAGTTTCTGCTTATAACTTATTAAGCATAAATAACTTAAATAAGTTGAAAAAAGTTGATTATCTACTGATTATCAGCTTTTAGCTCACAATAAGCTACACCAAACTCATTTTATGAACAAATTATCAACTGAAGAAGGAATAGCATAACATAAGGCAATCACCCTCATCTTAAAGAAGTATTAATCAAAAAAGAGAAATGCACAATTTTAAATCCATAAATTCACCCATAAATTATGGTGGCAAGAGAGTTGGGCCTTACATCATTGAATGTGTAATAAATCAAAAGTGGACACCTATCATACAACATCATTGTGGATTAAATTGTGGAAACTTTTTGTGTGTCTCAAACATTTTCCAATAAAAAATGCCTGGTGGTCTGGTTTGCAGCTAAGTCTAATTTCTAATCAAAGCAAAAACGCATTCAAAGGCGCGAATCAAGAGCATAACTCAACCGTTTTCTCATTCAAACTTACTTTAACAATTAGACAGACCTACGCAAACTCTACTAATGCCAGAAAACTTAAACAGATCTACATCAGTTAAACACACGGATACAAAATTAAACACAAAAATCAACTCTAATCTAAAAGGTGAAACGAATAGTAGTACATAAAGAACTGACTGTGGAAGAAGTAATCAATCAAATTCAGCTATGCATAGAAATGGATTGTGAATAATACTCACCGACATCGAGAGAATCAGGGATCGAATGAGAGATCGCCGGACAAATCAAGTCACCGGCTAAGAGTAACCGCCGGAGTCCACTGTTGTTGTTGCTGTTCCTTTGTCACAGCTGATTAAATGAAATGTGAGGAGAGAGAGAGAGTTTTAGAGAGAGAGAGAGAGAGGAAATACTATCTATCTAGAGAGAGAGAGGGCGGGTCGGAGGTTTGGGGTTGTGCTGAAGATGCAGGCGGTTGAGTGACGGCGTTGACGTGTTTTTACGGTCTGCTTTGTTTGCTTCTTCGCATTTTCGCTCCCACACGCGGTTTAGACTGGGACCCTATTTTTCACTGACCCCAAGAGAGGGATTCAATAACTCTATTTAAAAAAGGAAAATTTACCCATAAGTCCTAATTTTTGAAACGTTGAACCATTTAGTCTTAAAAGTTTTTTTATATTTCATTTAGTCTCATTTTTACATCAGCATGATGTGAATGATGTAAATGATCTGATATTTCATTCTATAATTTCAAAATTTATTGAAATCTGATGAACATTAGATGTTTTTCATCCTATATTTTCAAACATTATTGAAATTTGATGAACATTAGATGTTTAAAATCCAATGTTTGTAACATGACTATGATGTTATTAACATTGTATCTGATGTTATTAACATTGTAATGGGACCTTTCAGTCTATAAGAAAACTTTTAGGACTAAACAGTGTATAAGTTATTAATTTGGAATTTATTGGTGCATCCCCTATAAAAAATAATAATATAGTACTGACAATTTCAAATATTTGACTAAATATTTTATTATTCACATAAATTATGATAGACGAGTGATTGTTGTTACAAAAAAAAAAAAAAAAAAAAAAAAAAAAAAAAAAAAAAAAAAAGGAGAAGGATAAAAAATGATGATATTTGGGTACGTGAAAAAATAATTTCTTGATAATAGATTAGGATTTTGAGTTGAGAATATAGCAAATAGATTAAATGAAAATAATAAATGTATAATTTTTGAAATTACAGGAAAAGATTATGTAATTGTAAAAATTTTAGAAGTTAAATGTAATTAGTTTTAAATTGTTAGAAGGATACATTAATTTATATTATCACACTGGCATCAATATATATAAGTAATCTTTTTTTTTAATCCACATTTAGTTGCAAAAGAACATATCAAGATATGGACACCTAATTGTAAATTAGGTCATATATTATTTCATTTTTATATGATAGTGTGGTTCAAAAGATGGAGTATTTTATGAAGTAATTTAGTAGTAATCCATGATGAAGCTGATAAAAAAAAATATCTATGATGAATATGGAATTATGATTTTTTATTTATTTAAAAAATTTCAATATAAACTCAAATACCAAAACAGTGAAATTTCACTATTTTTTCAAAAGTGAGTTTTTATTTAGGGTTAGGATCGTAAAATTAAGAGTCAATTACAAAAATTAATTAATTTTTTTCAAATTTAGAGGCAAAATAATATTAAAAAAATTGAGGGCTCCAATTTGACAAAATTCAAATTTTACCGTGGTAACTGTTATCACATAATTTTAATTTTTTTTTTAAGATCTTTAGATAGCAATTTCACTATCCAATTGAGTGCTAGCAGAGAAATTTATATACTAACTATGTGAGTCGATTTCTAACCATACTGTCAAACTAGTACTCAGCTGGAGAACACCGGCAGCATAGATTAAGCCCGAACGACCTGTCACAGAAAGAAGAGATTTCGGCGGCGGTTCGTCCACCCGGGAGTACTCCAACGATCAAGTCATTTATCTCTCAAAGATGGCAAAAGTGCTTAACTCACTATTCAGAATAGCAAAAGCGTACCTTAGACCTATGAGGGTACCTCTCTTTTATAGCCAACACTGACCTGATCCCAATAGAAGCCTAGCTTCAATGGATTTTGTCTCAATGCTAATCCTAGACTCCCAGTTAGATTGGGATAAACTCTCTAAGAGTCTTATTTTTATCTAGACTGAACTTCTCTCCTAATCTAGGATTCTTGTCCCTAATCTGCTTATCTCGGATTTTGGTATTTTCGCAGATAACCTCGACCTAGTCGAGATTACCTCGGCATTATGACCAGGACATGTGGCACCTCGGCTAATACTTCGATGCCACATCGGCCACGTGTTGTCATTCAAAAATTATGTCCCCACAACTGCCCCCTAGGTTCTATTACCTCAGCATCCTAAGGTGATGGAACCTATATCATTTAAACCCATAGCACGTCAGCTAAACTTGCTTTATCATTTGTCACCGAGGTCATGACTTGTCAGCTCCATATGACCAAGACCTGTAATCTGTCTTTAGAACCAGTTAACCAAGTTTGTTCAATTTATTTAGCCGAGATTGTCCCTCAAGTCGAGGTCTTTGCTTCATTAAATGAAGAACTCCAAGAGTTTTAACACGCATATGAGCTGTCATGCACAACAACTCAACCTTTTTTGCTACGCACCCTTCTCCTATTGGACCGTACCTAACACGCGTCTTTAAGTCGTATCACATTTGCGTGCGCCATCTGACAAGCACATTGCCCTAGACACACTAATTGCCATTTTGCCGCCATTTTCATGGTTTTGATCAAAATCACTCCTTTTTCTTCGTCTTTTCACTTTTGCATCTTCATTTTCGTGCAAACTCTCTCTCTCCTCCCAAATCCTCCATTGTTTCAAGCTCTGCAACCACTCCGTTTACCTCATCCGGCGAGACTTTTGCTGCCCTTCTTCGATCGCTGCCATCATCTGACTCCGGTGTACGTCACACCGGCTTCTTTTTCTTCGGTGGGTTACTCATTTTTTCCCCCTTTCTAGTTTCATACTTTATTGTCTCTGTTTATTTGCCATGTTTGAATATATTCATATGCTCCTATTCCTGTCTATGTTTCAAATTTTACCCTTTGTATGCTTAAAACATGCTCTGTTTCATCTGTTTCTGGGTATACACACGATTTCACACACTTTGCTCACTTTGCTACTGTTTTTGGCCTCGCACCCCTGTATACACTCTGTCATAGTGTTCTTGATAGTCCATCACTATTCTTGATTCTGAATCATTGTTCTTGTTTCTGTTTTCTGTGCATTTTCCAAATTCTTGTCTTCAATTTTTGTTTCCATAGACTTAGGTTTTGGGATTTGTTGTAGAACCTTAATCTTTAGGAAAACTAAACCTAAAACCCTTTAGATCTTTCAGAAAAAATTTGCCCTAGCACACTTGCCGTTTTTAGTCGAGGTTCCTTAAACCTTCACAAAACACTTCCTTTTAAAATTCGACACCTCACCCTCAAGCCGACATCATGGGTATGTGAAAGTATAAGGTAGACACCCCAACCAAGTTAGAATACTTCAGGCAGGAGTTTTCTATCCCGGCCGACGTTCATCTCAAGTTAACTGGGAAGGAAGACTCCATTATGCCCAAGGACGATTCTATACCCTTCCCAGTAGTAGCCTTTGTTGAGTGTGGTCTTAGGCTTCCCCTTAACATCCTCTTTCGCGAGGTCCTTCACTATTATAAACTGAACCCAATGCAGCTAGCCATTAACTCTTACCGAGTTATCAACGGTATAATTGCCTTAGCCAAAAGAGAGAATGCTAGGGTTACCCTTGCTGACATCCAATATTGTTACACCATGTGCGGCCTGAAGTCGGAAAAGGGTTATGTCTATTACCTTAAGCCGAGGTCTGTGGAATACAAACTTGTTGCCGACCTCCCTGACTCCAACAAGGGTGATGAGGACGATTACTTCATTGTCTCGGGCAACTGGGAGTTTCAACCAAATGATGACCTTCACCTCTATCCCCTAAGCCGAACAGTTTTTAGAGAGGGAGATGGTAAGAGCCAAGTGCCACCTTTATTTGCTTTCTAGTTTTTTCTTACTTTGATATCTCTGTATGTTCTAACCTCTGTTTGCTTTTACTTTGCAGTTCTTCCTCAGCCCCCAAAGGACTTCCGAAAAAACTTCTTCCCCAGTAAGGATTTCAAAAAGCTGCTGGACCTGCCAGTTAATCAGCGCAAGGCTCCTCTACTTCTGAATTTCATCCCAGCCTACAAGTCAACTTTGTCCGACGTTTCCAGAAAAAACAAGAGCAAGTCCCCTCTATCAGCTACAACTCCACAAACTGAATCGTCAAGGCCTGACCAAGGATCAACATTCGATCCAACAAAACAACCATCTACCTCGACTCCGCAACTAATCCCGCCTTCCCAACGCAAACACCGACGTCAAACCATTGCCACCGCTAAGATAGGTCATAAGAAAGCTGTAGCAAACGACCTTCTAGTCGACATCTCCACCACTGTCACCGCATAACCATCTCAGCCAAAGCCAAAGCCTAAAAGGCTGAAGAAAGCCCAACCTAAGGCAATGGTGACTCAGGTCGACTTTGAGGACACCTTACCGATTTCAAGATTGGCCGAGGGCGAGAAGAGCTCTTCTGCTGCCGAGAAGAGACCCGCCGAGGCCGCACCATGCGAATCAACCAGGTCTCAACAACCTCGGGCTCTCTGAAGTCTGATGCCCCCTGGCCTCCTCCAATTACCATTGAGGATAAGCCGGTCAGAACTGGCGATAGCGCCAACGACATTGAAGTCAGTGTTGCCCTCTCTATCGCCTTGCTCCTTCCCAAAGATCTTAATCGCAACGCCGAGATAAGCGAGTACGAAAATTTCGCTCTAATGTTACAGCATTCTGTACAAGTAAGCCCCTAACACTTGGTACTTTTACATTCTCTATTTCTCTTACTTAGAAAATTTCGCTAACTTTTGTTCTGTCCATTTCTTCTAGGCGATCCAGCATGGCCACTCCTTCGCAATGCAAGCCTTTAACATTAAGAAGGAGTTGACTAACAAGACCAAGGAGGTTGCTGGCTTGCAGAGAGCCATTAATAAGGATGAGGGCAAAATGAAGGCCTTAACAGATCAGGCCGAGGCAGCTAAGAAGGCTTAGGACAAGGCCGAGGTAAAGGCAGATACTGCAGAGGCCATTGCCAAGGTCCTTGAGGCCGAAAAGAAATAGGCCCAAGCGAAAATTGCCGAAGCCCAGGGCGAGCTCTAGGCTGCCTTGGTCACAAAAGAAGCTGAGATCAAAGTGGCTGATGAGAAGGCGTACGCCGAGGGGGTAGCCGACGTCAAGGAAGATTACAAGAGACAAGTGAAGTAGGCATGCAACAAGGGTTTCACCCTTGATTGGATGACTACTCTAAAGAAGTTGGTTGTCCCTAAGGACTCTCCCCTAAAAAATGCCAGCAACCTTATCCTGTCATTCCCCCCTACTCCAAGCCAATCCGAGGACGAGACTGAGTCTAAGGAAGAAGCTGAAGCCGAGAAGAAACAAGAAAC